AGTGTTACATATAACAGTTCAAATGGATGTTTTCTCATTATTTTTATATTGAAGTGATCTGAAGAGGGAATCAGCTGAGTTTTATAGCATTTCAGCAAACCCAGTCAATGGCTTTTTTACTGCTTAGAAGGGTTAATCTATTGAGACTGGTTTCAAATTCGCTTCTTTTATCACAGTGCAGTAAATTTTTTACTTCAAAATCCTCCCCATTTCTCGGTTACGATAGGTGTCACTCGATCAACGACAGGCTCCATCTGTCCCCATTATTTTCGGGAGTTGGTAAGCACGATGATGATGATATGAAGGACTTCAAGATTGAGGTCGTGGATGATGCCACGTGGCATGTTTCCTCGGGATTGACTGATGCATGGAGAGAGAAGGACGAGAAGAAAGCTCTCTGCGGTTTTAAGTAGTAAGGATCATGATTATGATGTTATTGATGATTGTGGGGTGACCAGTCCTGTGGACTTGAATAAGAATGACCCTGCTGCTTTTGACGAGATTGAGGAGATGAGGATTCATGTGAAATTATTCAACAAGATCGACAAGGACTCTAAAAAATACGAAGAGTACAAATTCGATTTTCATGGAAGGAAATCTGATAAAAATCGAAAAGGAAGAGCAAATAGCTGAGCGGAAGAGAAAATCGACTCACCCACAGAAATCAAGAAGACAAATAAAAGGAGCCCAAAAGAGTCAATGGGATTTGATGAAGAAAAAGAATTTTCATTCTACCATGTAAATGAAAGAGGAGAGACTCGTGTGTTGGTAAAAAAAGGGAGAATTCTCACTTTCAACCAAATGACGGCCTGCTACCACGAGCCCTTCTGCCTAGATATTTATATTTCGAAGGCTTCGGTTTGGACATATGCGTGATCCAGCGAGCCACTAGCAAGGTGTTTCCCGTGTCGCACTCGATTTCTAAAGGTATGAAGTTCGATTTGGGGTCGACGAAGAAGAACATGACTGCAACTGTGATTGTTGGCTGGCTCAGAGGGCGTTGGAGGATGATATACATAATATGGTTGGGGTTGTTGTCGAGGCAATCGTTGATGGCGGGGTCAATGTGAAGGTGAAGCTCAAGCAAAAGAAATCGGGACTTTTGGCCGGGAATTCAAGATAGGCGTTCATTTCAATAGTTATTGATAAAAGATTGTGGTTTTCAAGAATATGTTATACTACTATCTCCTATTTTTAATCTATGTCAGTTTTGAGAAGTTGCACATTAATTAAGAATATTTTTTTTGTCAATTATAACCTTATACAATGAAAATAAAGATGAATGTTTTGAAAAAAAGTGATTATTAGCTAAATGATAGTAATAATGGAAAAATATGTACAAAAGATCTAAAATGACATTTATTTAGTTAATAGTTGATAAAAGTAGAATGACATTTAAAAAAAAATAAGAGGGAGTAGTTTGGTACTCCACATTATTGTGTCCCAATATACATGAAATATTAAATAGATTTTATGTATTACGTATATTGCCCCTGGTATTTCGACCATTATTACTTCAATTTTAATGGCAAAAAATAAAATAAAAATAAAAATGAATCGAATGAGCCAAATCATTCGCGCTGTGTGCGTATTAGCGTATATTGCTCATGCTATTTCGCAATATTTTTAAATACCGATATGCACCGGCGGTATTACCGATTATTGGTGGCCTATCGGCATGGTTACCCTCTACTGTCTTGACCAAAATATCATTTTACAACAGCTTCATATCAGAAAATACTAGTTTTACCGAACAATACCGACCAAAATATCTGTTAAAAATTAAAATACTAGGTATGCCGGATTTTTTTGAAAAATAGTTTTATAACGTATTTTTATTAATTAATTTATATAAATAGTAAGTTCTACACTTAATTTTAATATATTTACATTGTTATTAGATTTTAGTTAATTTTAGTTTATATTATAGTTAGTTTATACATTATTTATATTATAATAATAGATAAATTTAATCTTTATTAAAATCGATAAAAGTAAAATCGGTTGAACCTCGTTTCGGTGGTTCGTTCGGCATGATGACCGGTACTGTATTTAAAACATTGCTATTTGGACCCTTATTTTTCAAAAAATTAAAAAAAAAAAAAGAAAAAAAAAAGAAAGAAAAAGAAAAAGAAAAACGAATCGAAGGAGCCAAATCAGTCACAAAGCCCTCATTTTTTTCACCTCTCCCTCTTCATCATCTCGCTCTCCAGTCTCCACGGTTCCACCGCCGCCTCCACTGCAACTCCACGGCTCCATCACAGCCCGGCGAGGGTAGGAACTCCGCCGCCTCCACTGCTCCACCTCAGCCTCCTCACAACCAACCTGCTTCTCGCAACATCAGACAATTCTTCCTCGGCTCTCGCATCTCGTCGTCGCTCCGATTCCCCGCTCTTCGTCTCCGCCACCTCCAAAGTCCCTGCTCCTCGGCTTTCCGTACCCTACATCCCCAGCTCGGCAGCTCCTCCGCTCTCGACTCCAAAGGTAACATTTTTTAGCTTTTTTTAATTGGAGATTATGAATAGCTTCACCCGAACTTCAATTGAAATTGGGCCTCTTCTTCATTCACTTGATTATTTAGATTTTCTGTTTAATTGGCATGATTATTTATTAAATCAATAGAGTGCGATATGAATGATTGACTGATTCTTGCTTTTTTGAGGATTGAATTTCTTTGATGTGTATTTGCCTATTTTGATTTGGTTTGATGATACAGAGAGTACAAATTCAATTGATGATGATAGCCAAATTCAATTGACGATGTGTATTTGCCTAGATTTTCTAGACCAATGATCTCTCATAGTAGAAATCTCCCAAACTTTGATAGTATTGACGGTGATAGCCAAATTCAATTGGATGTGACCGATTATTTTTAGATTTTGAGTCTTTACTTTGAAGATTATGACTTTGGGGTTGTTTGTATGAATTAATATTTGAATGTTAATGTTTAGATTTAATGTCCAAGTTTAGTTTAAGACATTTCAATTGTTTATTTGTTTGTATGGTTATACGTATTATTATTTTTATCATTAAAAGTGAATTGCTCGAATATCTTATGCAACACGCAATGCATATAAAAACCAAAACGTGGCGCAATACGCTATACGCGTTTTAGAACACTGATTGGCACGCATATTTGTCGCTATAGCGGTTTCTCGTTTATGGAACAGTATAATGAAATTTATTCGTGGAATTTTTATAAAATTTCTTATACGAAAAGTTTATAAAGAAATGTTCCTCGACTTTTTGTCATCTTTACAATTTCAGGCAAGTTGAGTAATTTTCTAGCACTCATGGAAGCCAAATTCTTTCGGTTTCTCAAGCTTGTTGGGGTTGGCTACAAAGCTAGGGCGGAATCTGAAGGCCGTCTCTTGTTCTTGAAGCTCGGGTATAGCCATGAGGTCCAATTAGATGTGCCTCCAGCTGTTCGGGTTTTTTGCTTCAAGAACAATATAGTTTGCTGCACAGGGATCCACAAGGAGAGGGTCCACCAATTTGCAGCTGCTGTTCGTAGTTGTAAGCCACCTGAAGTCTACAAAGGCAAAGGCATTCTGTACATTGATGAGGTTATAAAGCTAAAGCCAGGAAAGAGGTCAAAGTAAGATAGACTGTATGCTTCCATCATCAGGAAAAAAAAATGTTTTGGAAAAATTGGATGTGCTTCACTGCACGCATTGGATTCTGTTGTTCGTTTTTTAGAATATTCATCTTGTTGGAGAAGAAATTTGTGAACTTAATCCTGTTTTGTTTTGTTTTGTTTTTCTTCGACCACAATGGCACACTGCATTTATTTTGTCACGAGTCTATCTAATGTTAGGAATGAGCACACTCACATCATTCTTATCTGCCGCTATATTTGTAGCTCTCCTCAAAACAATCTCTGACATCCCCATCCATGTTTCCATGACATTTTCCTCAAATATCCTGTAAAGGATGTAAATGTTCTGTAGGAGGCTTATCTGCAGGTGTCAGATAACATTTCACAT